TAAAACTACATGCAGCACGAGTCTGGAAGGATCGACTTTGCCTGTCCTGAGAGTCCCATATAAACCTCAGTGTGGCCAAGAGCTGCCAGGACCCACAGAGGGAGTGGCAGGGAGCTCTGGGCAGGGTTTGGAGGGGAGATCTGACAGCTGTGCTCTTGTCCTCAGCAGTTCCCACTGCCCTCCTGTGTCCTGTGGCACAGCTGCACCCATTACCCCAGAGCCTCCCACTCGGCCACCCTGTGCTGGCCGCCCGTGGCTGCCCCAGGTCCTCCAGGGTGACACACGGCCCTGGGGACCAGACTGCAGTGATCCCTTCAGCTGGAGAAAAGAGCCTGCACTTCTGCAAGCGTGCATCTATTTTCCCACCCAAAGAGGGAAAGTTATCCCCTGTGTAAGTGCCTCTATGCCAAACTGTCAGGAAAACGTCCTGCACTCAATAATCTTAAGAGAAGTAGAATGCAACAGAAAGTTCCACTGGCAAAGGGGAATGCATGAGCTCAGCTGCATCAAGATGTGAGAACCAGATGCTAACCCTGAGACAGCCTTGCTACTACAGCAAAAATCTGACCTGCTGCCAAAAGTGATAGCCACTGCCACCACGGCAGGAGCCATATGTTGGTTTTCATCTCTGGCATGCTGTCCAAGCACTGCCCCATGGACTGGCTTTGCTTCTCAAATACAAATAAAAAAATGCATGAACTTCAGACCTTTAAAGCTTCTAGAAATAACAACTTTCCAGCACAACCAATGGAGCACAATGCAGGAAAGCAAAGCGGGTGCTGGGAAGCTGTGCCAGGAGAGGGGTGTGCTGCCAAGTTTAGTCATGTAGAGACGACGAAGGCAAACACAGGACTCTGCAACACGGCACTGGTTTTACTGTGCATGAGGCAGTTCTGTGTCTGCAGGTGGATTTATCTCAGTGCATGTTCCTGACCTACTTATTTCCACTTTTCAGCTGGGAAACCCAGAAGCAAGGCTGCTCAAGCAGAGCAGCAACCTTCCAGCAGGAGTTCAGCTCTTATCCCACCGGCAGAACCACCCTGAACACGATCCCCTCGGGATCCCATTCTTCATCTCGCCGCACAGATGCTGTGTTACCACGCTCCTTTCCTCTTCTTATCCTTGTAGTGGTGATCAGATTTCTCTTGCACAACTTTCCCCTGATTCTCTACTGAAAGTCTGTTAGAACTGCATATTAAAAAACCCCGAGTGGCTAGCAATTCAGCCCTTTCCGAAACACCAGTGAACCTCCAAGGTCAGGCAGACAGCAATAGCAGATCCCAAGATTAAGAATCAGCCTTCTGACCTTGTTGCTAATGCACAGCAACACTTGCTTCCCCAGCAGTTTTCCATTAACACCTGCATTCTCTGCTGCTCTAACAGAAGAGGTGGCTGAAGGCATAGGTGGCCAGGACACTGACAGATGGAGGGACTGAGCTAGAAAAAAACACATCTGGGCAAGACAAGGTTGAAAGGCATTTTATGGTAGCCAGAAGCACTGATAAATTTGCATGTGAGAGACTTCTTCTAAGGGCAGTGAAAACCATATAGGCACAAGAATAATCCAAGAGACGCTGCACACATCGACTGTCTCTGACCTCACACTAGCTTATAAGAAAGGTACTTTAACCCAAAACAGCCCCCAACTCCCTGACAAGACCTTCCCCACTCCTCCCCAGATCCAAGAGGTGCCTGAGCAATTGTGCAGTGCTGAAACACGTGGAAGATTTTTCTACCTTCCATCCTCCCTCAGCAATCAATTGCACCCAAAGAGGCAGGGATTACACCACGTAACTTTTTAACCCAGTTGCTGGCACTGCAGGCGTGATGCCTGCTTCAAAATCTGGCACGTGTGGGAGAGGGGGAGGCTCTCAGCACTGAGCTCCCCACTCTTGAACTGCATCCAACTTGCTCCACCACCAAATGCCAGTGAACTTTGCTTTAGTGACAAACTTCAAAAATCCACCTCCACACCATAAAACTGGGGGGAGGGGGGAAGGAAGCAGCAGAGAGGTCACTCAGTGGATTCACGTGCCTCAGGACGAAGGCCAGCCACAAGCCATGCTGCTTGTACTTTAGAGATCAGAGAAAAAAGCCAAGCCTGAGATCAGCACTCAGGGATGTAAAGTTCTTGAAAATATAACACACTAAACTGCAGCTGGCACTGAGGACAGCCAGGACATGGGGCTGCACCTCGTCCCTGGCCTGAGCCACTCAGGCTCCGATACAAATCAAGAACAGTCAGCCAATAACTAGTTAAAATCTGGAATTTCCAGCTGAGGTCTCAAAGTCTCTGCCCTTCCCAGAAAAATTCTTGTTTCTGGGTGCTTCTGAGTATTTCCTAACGTGTCAGTGGCTCCCGCATGCCGAACTTCCAGGAGGATGCAGCCCTCTCCTGCCCGCCACCTCCAGGACACCCATGTCCGTGCGCGGGCAGCCCCACGCGGTGCCGGAGCAATCTCAGCGCCCGGCGGTGCCCACCCTGGCCCGGCCCGGCCCCCGGCCCGGGGGAACGGGGCCGCTCCCGGCCGGGCCCCCCCGCGGCCGCGCGGTGGAGCGGCCCCTTGAAGGTGACCTTCACCGGGCCGGGGCTCCCGCTCCGCCGGGACGGGCCCGCCCGGGCCGGGGGCGCCGCCCGCCCCCGAGGCTGCCCCGGGCCCCGGCCCCGCCGCGCCACGGGCGGGCTCCGCGAACCGCGCGGCCCGGCCCCCTGCGGCCTCGGGCCCCGGCAGCCAGCGCGGCCCCGGGGCTGCGCGGAGCCTCCCCGAGACACGGCGGGGCCGCCGGGCCCCGGCACGGCTTCCCCGCCGAACGGAGCCCCCCGGGCCGGGGGCTCGGGCGCGCCCGGGCTGCTCCGCCGAGGTGTCCCCGGGCGGGACGAGCCGCCCGGGTCGGCAGAACCACCCCGGGTCCCCAGCGTGGCCCCGGCCCCCCGCGACTTTGCCGGCGGGCCCCGGGAGTCCCGGAGCCGGAGCGGTGCGTTCGCACCGCCGGCCGGACACCGCCGGCCCCGCGGGGCCGGTCCGCGCTCCCGCCGCAGGCCCCGGCCCGGGCCCTTACCGGGGCGCTGCTGCGTGTCCGCGGGCCGGCTGGCACGGGGTGCCGCGTGCTGCTGGTCGGCGCCCTGCGCGGCCGGCACGGCGGCCGGCGGCATCTCGCCCGCTCGGATGACCATGGGCCCGAAGGACAGCGCCGTCCGCCCGCCCCACGTGGTGCGGCCCCGCCGCCGCTACGGCGCCCGCCGCGGCCCAACCCCCGCGCCCGCAGCGCCTTAAAGGGGCCGCGCGCCCCGCCGGGACTGGCCCCGCACGGCCCCGACAGACACCGCACGGTCCCCGCACGGCCCCCGACAGACACCGCACGGCTCCGGACGGACCCCGCACGGCCCCGCTTCCCGGCCCCGCGCCAAGCGGGGACACGGCCAAGGAGGCCCCGCAGGCCCCGGTGAAGGTCATCGGCTGCCTGCGATCTACCCGGAGGCCGCAAGGTCGCCGGGGGGCACGGGGGTGACACCGCGCCCGGCCGGGCCCGGGGAGCCGCGGCTGTCCCGGCCTCGTGTGCCCGCAGCCCCGGGGCCGGCCCTGGGCCCGCTGCGCCCCTGGCAGCGGGAGCGGGCGGACGCGGGCAGAGCGGCCCGGTGGAGCCATCGCGGCCCTGGGGCTGCCCCCGGGCACGGGCAGCTCCGGCCTCCAGCCCCTCATGGAACAGGAGGGAGCGCGGAGAGGTTTGGGTTGGAAGGGACCTTCCATTCCACCCCCTGCCATGAGCCGGGGCACCTTCCGCTAGACCGGGTTGCTCCAAGCCCTGTTGTTACCGAACAGGTTATAGTTCATTAAAAAGGAGTCTATGCCGCAGTGGGGAGAAACGTTGGGAAAATCTTTAATTGTAACACATAGGGTTTAGTAGTATGTAAAAAATCCAAAACAAAACCAAAAAAACCCCCAAACTTTCTTAAGAAAGGATGTTCTTCGGATGTTCTTTCAAAGAAAGATCTGTTTGATTTTTGTAACTTTCAAGTCTAATCAACAAGAAGGGAGATTAAATCTGTGAAACAGAGAGCAGCTAACAAGAAAGCTCTTAGTGATGTACATGTGTTAGAAAAACAAAGTTTAGGGCTTCACATGCTTCAGTGATCTCAGACTTGGGGGAGGAAGTTGATATAGCTTGTGAAGAAGGATGTACCACTGGCAATGGACACAAAGAATGCTAAATTTATGGGCCACAAGGACATTTGGCAGGACTCCCAAGATAAGGAAGAAACTAATAAAACCAACTCATCTGAAATTAGCTCCAAGTGGGTAAATGGTAATTCTGGCAGGAACTGCAACCACCAGCCCAAGAAACTCACAGGCCCAAAAGAAGAGAGAAAAAATAGAAATGGAGTGTGTGGACTAATTAGCATGAGAAGCAAGAGAATCATTACCCAAGAGAAGACAGAATACTAATTAATAAGGGAACTAGGTAACTTGTAGCCAATGAACACTAACTCCTTTGTTTGCTAAAATGCATAAATAGTTAAAAGTTTTGATAATTGGCATACATGTTTGAAGGAGCCATCCCCACGTACCCAGTGCTGAGTAAAGTAATGTTGGCTTTCTAACCTAACAAAAAAACTTCTGTTTGGAGAGTTTATTTTCCAGGTTTTGGTGTCAGCCTGGCCCTGAACACTTCCAGGGATGGGGCAGCCACAGCTTCTCTGGACAGCTTGTGCCGGGGCCTCACCACCCTCACAGGGAAGAATTTCTTCCAAATATCTCATCTAACCCTGCCCTCTTTCTGTTTGAAGCCATTCCCCCTTGTCCTGTCACTCCAGGCCCTGATAATGATCCCCCCCATTTACCTGCAGGCCCCCTGCAAGGACTGGGGGGCCACTCTGAGTTCTCACCAGAGCTCTGAAGGGGCTCTGGGTGGTGAGGTAGGAACCAGTTCTGGGACAGGCAGAAATGCTCATGGTTTGTGGCTGGAGGTCCTTGGTGCTGGGGCAGGACTTTACAACCCTCTGCAGATTTCAATCTCTTTATTAAGAAAAAGGCATATTACAACAATTCCTAAATTACAGCTCCATACTCTAGTCTCTGGGTGTTAACGCATTTTGAAAAGCACTTGGTTAAAAAGCAAAGTCAATGTGAACATCATCCTGGCAAATAAGGGTGACATGTAGCGAGATGAACATTCAAATAAAGCAGAGCAGTGTCAAACCTTTGGCATCTGTCCCTCCACGGCGCTCCCCAGCATGAGGCACAGGCGTTTATTGTTCTCACTGAGCTTTGCAAACTCAGCCAAGGACAATATTTTTGCTCCAACAAAACTGCAGCTGCTCTGGGACCAGGGGAGCAGGTACCACGGGTGCTGCCCTCCTCCTCCCTCTGTCAGAGCCCTCCCCAGGGTCCCGGCACAGCTCCAGCCAGGAAGGGGTGATGTCACCACACTGAGGGTTAGACCCTCTGCACAGACTGGGGTGACAGTGACTTAGAAATGTACAGACAGTGCTTGTCCCCACAGGGCTGCAGAGAGAGTCTGATGCTTCAGCCATGCAAAGATTTGGGGGATTCCCATGGCCCAGTAGTTTAAGTCCTGCAATAATTGCAATGGTGAGAAAGGGGAGCTTTTTTTGGAAGTCGCAAGATCGGGGAAATCTATCGGGAAGAGCTGGGAGGCATCACCACACCCTGTCCAGGGAGGACCAGGCGCCACTTGGGTGTGGGTTGGGTGCATGTCTTGCACACTGGCAGCTTCGTGCCCCTGTTCCTGCCCAAAGGGGCAAGGGGAGAGAGGGTGAGATGAAGGGATCGGATATGGTGGCAGTACTGGATGTCCCCCTCCAGGTCCTTCTGTCCAGAGGCACCATCCGTTCATGTGGCTGGGGCAGCAGCATCTCTGCAGGGCAGGAGGAGAGGGGACAGAGGCAGAAACAAGACCCTGGGGGGCAAAGGGCACCTCTGACAGCGAGAGGACACGGAGCGATCTTTGTGCTTTTACAGGCCGCAGTGTCTGGCAGCTCCTCCACAGCCACTGTGCTCATCGATCCCAGGCTCCTCCTGCTCACCCAGCCTGGCACACTGGCACTGCTGATCTTATCCACAGCATGAGGCAACCCACGGGCATAAGGGAGTTCTCTCCCCTCCTGTTGCATTCCCTGTAGGACTTGGCAGCCAGGCAGCGACAGAGCAAGAGAGTGACAAGAACAGGCGTGCACCGAGGCAGCTGTAGCGCCAGTGCAGTGAGACTGGCTCCATGGGGCTGCTGGGACATGAGGGCTGGTGTTCTAGGAAAAAGGCAGGTGGTGTGGCTTCATTTGGGCAGCAGGAGCAAGTTCACAAGGCTGCACACAAGGACTCAGAAAGGTTCACCTAAGCCCCAAAAATGAAAGTCCCTCATCAAGCTGCTGATTTACCTTCCCGGTGGGGAGAGCCTGGGGAGAACCCGGGAAGGCATGGCCAGCACTGCAGTGCTGCCACTCCTCTGCTTTCTGGGAGCTTGTTTTAGGGCACTTGTGCATAGAGATGCACTGTGCAGAGCAGAGCACTCCCTGCACACCACCAGCTCGAGCTGCTTCTTGCTGTGTCGCTACCAGCTTTCCTGGGCACCCGGAGAGACCACCCCTCAGCCCCTCCAGAGCACCCCTCAGCTGGGCCCTGAACCTGGCTTCACATGCCATAAGGCAGTTCCCAGAAAGCCTTGGGCTCTGCCTTGGGCAAACCTTCCCCAGGCAGTGGGGCCCAGTGCAGAGTGTCTGCACAGAGCCATGCAGATGCAGCAGTGGGAGGGTTAGGAGGCTAGCAGAGATAGGAAGGATGCAGCCGGAAGCACTTAGATTAGTCCCAGCAAACACATTCAGAAAATATGGCTTTTTAGTTAATGGGGTCAAGAGGGAGAACTCCCTGGCTGATCTGTACAGGGTTAAAATAAGTCCAGGGGAGTGTGCACCCCTCACCAGAACTGGCTCTGCTGCAGCAAGTGCAGCAGGCACATCTCACCCATCCACCACTCACCCCACACCTGCTGCAAGGTGCATTTGCAACATCACTTTCTTAGACAGCATTAGGAATAATAATAATAATAATAACTACAATGATGAAAAGAGAGATTAGCAAACCCAACACATCAAATCCATGAGCCTCGGCAGAGCTGCAGAATAAAAGGGGGAGCAGAGGAGAGGAGCCCGGCTGTTAGTCTGTAGACAGCTCTCAGCACGTAATGGTTTACACACAAGACGTTGTTTAACAACCGAGTGTTATTGCTATGCTTCCATTTCCAGTCTAATCATTAAGCTTTACAAATCAACATCAAACACTGCCCGTTCCATACAGAGCACGTAGGTGTTGGTGATTGCACTCCTTGGTCTGTGCTCTCAGGTGTGTGGCACAGGTCAGAGCTCCGTGCACCCTTTGGATTCCCAAGGAGTCCAGAGCACAGACTAAATGCACCTACAGATCGCTGTAGGTGCATTGCAGGCTTAGCCCTTGCAGGCTAAGGGCTCACTTACAGTGTGAGTGGGGGGCGGGTCTGTTAGAGTCCCCAGCCCAAGGAGGGGAGGGCAGGCCCTGCCTGTGCTCCAGCAGCTCCTGGGCTTGGAGTATCTCCAGCAGCTTTCTCAGTAAAAAATAGGAATGCTGTCTTTTTGATTTTTTTTTTCATAATTTTGATCTCTTTGATCATTTTATATAAATACAAAGATTAAAATAATTTATCTCAACATCATTTCTATTACAATCATACAGTGTATTCCCTTCAAAACAAGTGCCTGTATGTGTATTTATATATATATATATAAGTGTATATATAGTATCTCTAGAGCTACCCTCTCCCCCAGAAAAGCAGCAGTGACTGAAGCAGGCACAGCACGCAGGAGCTCATCCTTCCTGCTCTGAGGCAAATGTACTCAGGGAAAAGCACAGGGCTCACCCTGACAACTCATTTCCAAGCACATTACATTGGCATGAAGGGGGAACTGGGGTGCTCCCTCTTCATCCCCTTGGGAAACACTCCCCTTGCTGCAGGTGGCTCTGCCTGCCTGCCCATGGGCTCTGGGGCTCCGGACCTGCCCAGCTGCCCACCCGCACCGGGAGCACTGGGAGGAGGAAGAGGCATCAGGGGACGGAATGAGATCAACTCCTTGAGCAAGCTGCTAATTAGTGGTGGAGAGGAAAGGATCCTGCAGCTCAGATAGGGTTGCTTCATTTACATACTAGGCACTATGGATGATGATTGTTAGGAAGGTATTTACATAGAAGAAGGATCATACCTCTCCCTCCCCTTTTCAATGCTCAGGTCAGTCATGAGCTCCATGATCTCATCAAGGAGTTGGTAATAAAAATGCATCATATTGTGTCTATCGGGATTGTCTAGGAAGGACGGGAGAAGCAGCTTTGTGCACCACAGCTGCAGGAACAGCTGAGCACACAGGGACACTCACTGGCCTCTCTCACCTTAACAGAGAGACAAATCCTCAGTAGAACCTCTCAGAACCTGAGAGAAACAGCAATTTCCAGAGGCCAAGGGCAACTCACAGGAATGAGGTGCCCAGGCAGCCTGGGCACACAGTGCTCTGCCAGGGCCTGTGAGTGCCCTGGACATGTTCTGTGCAGCCTCCTGCAGGGGTGACAATCTGGGAGGCAGGTGGGGGCTAGTGGGGGCTCTGTGCTCCCAAGGCAGCAGTTCCAGACATGTCAGGGACTTCAAAAATTTCCTGCTAGAGCTTTTGTGCCCCAGGAGCTGCACACCTTGGCCGGCCTTCAGCCAGGGCAGCTGCTGCCTGGGTCCTGCCAGGGGGGTCCTGTCCAGCGTGGCTTTGCTGCGCTTCTTCCCAAACCCAGGGGTGTGTTAGGGACCATGGGAGCAGCTGGAGAGTGCAGGGTCCAAGCCCTCAGAGGTGTCCTGGGGGAACAAGAGGGGTCTTGCCCTCCAAAGCCTGACTATTCACATTACAGCCAAAGAAAACGTACAAAAGCTGCTAATTTCTGCCCTGCTAGTGCAGCTCACATGCTTCGGGGTTCGTTTTTACCAAAGAGCTGGCCTGGGGACTGCTGCTGCAAATCTCATAAAAGCATTTTAATAGAGTATATAAATATTGAACTACAAAAATAGACAGCTCTGACTGTACGGGCACACTGTGGCTGAGCGGGGGCAGGCCAAGCCTCACTAGTCTATGATGGTGACGTCTTTGAAGAGGTTTCAAACCAAACTGGAAGGAAATGGGGTCTGATCACCCCCTGCAGCTCCCTCCTGCCTGTGCCAGCCATGGAGGCAGTGAGGGTCCTATGGGAGGCTGCTGCCCACCAGCCAGGCAGGGCACTGGGCACTGCTGCCCCAGCACAGCTGGGCCAGCCAGGGCTGGCAGCCCATGTGCTGGGGCAAAACCTGCCCCTTGGATTGCCCTGAGCAGCACAGGTCCTGTGGGCGCCCGAGCAGCGAGATCTTTGCCCTGCCTGACCGCTGCAGCCCTCCCCTCCTAAGGGTGTTTCACAACACCCAGGGAATGGATTGTAAAGCTGACGGTTTGGCTGGAGATCGGGCAAGGCTGCCCCAGCAGGGTGAAGGCAGCTGCCTATGACTGCAGTGCTGGGATGGACAGGAGGTGTTGAGGGAGGACAGGGGGGCTGCTCAGCCCTCGGCGGTAAACCCAGACCTGGCTGTTAGATGTGCCTAAGAACCGAAATGCTGGTGCCGAGAGCCCTGTGCGGAGGTGCACAGGGCACAGCCTTGCTCCAGCAGCACGTGGAGCCTGGCTGTGGCGGGCAAGGAGCCATGGGAGGACTGGCGGGACTGGTGCTCCCAGCCCTTGTCCAGCCACCTTGTCTGAGTCCTGTGTGTGAATGTAATGTGGGGGAAATTCATGTGGAGACAGAGTTCAGAGACAGCCAAACCACTGCACAGGAGAGTGCAGGAGGGGACCTGGAAGGGGATCCTTCTGTCACCCACAGGATGGACTGTTGTTCAGCTGCCTACATCCCAGAGAACCTTCCTGATGATGTCCTGGGCCCTCTCCAGGCCAGCCCAGTGTTGGTGATGCCCAGGGTTGGAGGCCTGGCTGAGCTCATCCCACTGTGCCAAGCCACACGCTGCACAGCCTGTTGCTGCTGCACACACATCTCCCGGCACCCCTGGCTGGGGAAAACACATCTGGTGTCCACTCTGAGGGCAGCAGCAGCAGGAAGATCTCCTCATTGCAGAAATGCTTTCTTGCTTTTTTTTCCTTCTTTCTTTTCTTTCTCTCTTTCTTTCTTTCTCTCTCTCCTTCTTCCCTTGGAAGCTCTGGACAGGCACTGGACCATGTCCCCTCCACAGCCCAGGTTATGGGTGCTCCCCTGTCCCGCCAGTGACACCCTCGGCTCAGACCCTTCGGGCAGAGGAGTCCCCCCGGTTGCCTGTGGGTGGGAGGTGCATGCAGGGCATCCGCTTTCTGCTGCCCCCTCACCCCCACCAGGGGATGGGGAAAAAGAACCTTGGTCGCCCGCCCCAGTGCTGCCAGGCTCAGGCCTTCCCGGCCGGTCGGGCCATGCTGTCCCCTCGTTGCCTATTCCTGGGCCCGGTGGGCACCGTGGGCACCGGCCCCCTGCCTCTTTCCAGGTTCGCCCATGGTCGACCTGGCCCTGGCCGCCGGGTCCTGCGGGGGCTGCCGTGGCGGCCTCTGCCCCCGGGCAGTGGCGCCGGTGGAGCCGCGGGGCTGGGCTGGGGGCTCTGGCGACAGGCGCTGCGGGCCGCGTGGCCGCGACGTGTAGAGGAAGAGGGCTGGGTCGGGCATGGCGTCGTGCTCCTCCTGCACGAGGTCCCTGGGGCGGCCACTGTCCCCGGGCGGGTGCCGGGCAGGGGCCCTGTGGCCGCGACGCCGGGGCCTGCCCTCGGCCGGGGGCTGCTCTGGGGGCGGCCGCCCGCCCACCCGGGGGCCCGGCAGGCGCTGGGCCGTGGCGTGCAGCTGCAGGGAGAGGTAGGCGGCCGCCTCCGTCTGCTTCTGCAGCTCGGTGTCGAGGATGGTGATGCGGTGGCTCCGACGCTTCAGCTCCTCCAGGAACCGGCGCTCCTTGCTGCGGAGGCTGGACCGCAGCGCAGCCACCAGCGTCTCCTTGTGCTGCAGCTCCTTGCGCAGCTCCAGGTTGTCCTTCTCCTTCTCCTGCAGCTGGGCCTCCATTGCCCGGCACTTCTCCTCTAGCTCCCGGTCCAGGACATCTGCGAATCAAAGCACAGAGAGGGGTCAGGCAGCAGTGGCTCCATCCACTGCTCCTGGCAGGTGCGTGCTCCCAATGTGGATATGGCTACTGACCACTCCATGGTACCAGCCATGTCCCACCAGTGCCATTGAGGCTGCATGGATTCTTCTTGGAGCTGGGGCTCCAAAACTTCCCATGAGCTGCCCGAGCGTGGGCTTGCTGCCAGCACAGGTACAGGAGCCCTGTCAGGGCTGAGCCACGGTGCCGCTGGCACAGTGCCACATGTAACACCCAAATGTGGGGTGACAGCAAAGGCAGTTTCAGTGGAGGATGTTGTTGCCATGGAACTTGCCATCTCTACCTTTAAATCAGAGTTTTAAAATTTCCCTAGGTCACTAAGTTTTCACCCTAAAAGTGACTTTGAGTATGTGCAGAGGACGTGGAGGCATACATGGGCTGGGAGAGAAAAGGAAATGGTTCAGGGAAACCATCAGCTCAGCTTTGGCCTCAAGCCCTGGGACTCCACAGCCTGGTTAACAAGGATGGAGATGTTAATCCAGGATTACAGAAGAGCTGGGCTGTGCTCAGCAGAGAAGGAGCTGCCGTACCAGGAGGGAGGACTGGGCTCTGGGGAACCCCATCCTGGCGCAGGACGGTCAGGCAGCCAGGGGATTCGCACCTTGGGTGAACAGGCGGAGCTCGGTGGGCAGCAGGAGTGCTGGGCTGGACTCCTGCCCCCAGCAGCCCCAGCCACCCACTCTGACACCCAGCCCTTGGCAGGGCGCTGGCTGGCACCCACCCACGCTCCCTGGCCTGCCCAGACCTGCTCCCGTCCTCTGCAATACTCTGCTTTTTACTATACGATTGGCAGTCCCTCACAGCCTCAGCTCCTAAGTGCTGCTGCAGAGGGAAAATGCTTTATAATGAGGTCCCAGGGAGGCAGTTGCATGCAGTAATTATTCCATGAATGACATTAGAAGAGCATGGAAAAGGAGGTGCTGCCCCATAAACGTGGCAAAATGATCATGCTCTTTGTCAGCTCTGAAAGGCTAAAGAAAGGATGGGCAGGGACCATGGGTGGGACTCGCTGCGTTGTGGCTGATGACACCCTGATGGCACCTGGTGGGCTGGGTGCCAGACCCTTCACCATCAGAGAGCCCACTGGTGCACGGAAGGGCCCCTGGCTCCACGGGAGGAGCTGGGAGAGTAGAATCCCCCTGGAGCCAGCCATGGCACTGTGTAAGGGTGCCAAGGGCAAGGACCCCAACAGCCCCAGTGAAAGCAGCCTGCACCCGCAGCCTGCACCCCTGGCACGGCCTGCATCCCTGGCACGGCCAGCCCTGGTGCCGAGGACACAGCGCAGGCTGGGGCTTAGTGCCAGGGACTGTGCCCAGGCAGCACCAGGGAGGAGTTTCAGCTTTATCCCTGGGAAGGAGGTGGGAGAGGAACCAGGCTGCTCACAGAGCATCCTCTGCCAGCTGTGGGGATCCTGGGCGACACCAGCATTTACTGTGCTGCCAGCAGCCTGTGAACTGCATGCTGCCTTCCCAGCCCTGCCCTCAGCCCCTCTGTCCCCTCAAAGTCCATGTCCCCTCCCTGGGCAGCCCCAATGGGTCCCCTCTGGCCCAGGCTTTTCACACCTACACATGCTCCCCCTTATCCTGTGCCCAGAGCTGTGCTCTTACCTTGCTGGCGGGCCTCCAGCTCTTTCATTTCCAGGTCATGGGTGAGCTCTGGAAGAGAAATGGAACAGGACTGAGGAGGGGCATCCCACCCATCCTGCACTCCCTGTGTCTTCCTCTGCTCACTCTGGGGCACTGAACATTACTGAGGCTGCAGCGCTGCCTCTGCCAGGCCCATGTGGGAGCGTGGCCATCAGACTGAGCTAATTCTGGCAATTGATGTTATTAAGCAGCCTGGTGGCCAAGGCAGCGTCCGTGGGTCCTATCCCACAGCAGAGTGGGAGGCTCCATTCCTCTGGCAATGCCTTTCCTTTTTCTAAGAGAGTTGCTAAACCATTTTCAGTGCTTTAAATCAGAGCAAAGAACAGAGCAATGGACTGAAAATAGATCAAAGGGTAAGTTGCATTTCATAATTTACTGCTCCAGGCTGATCGCTGCCTCTGTGTGTGACGCAAGCGGGGCTGCCTCATCCCGGCACAATGTGCCTGCAGAAGGATGCTGCCCTGCTCCACTGCAACGTGGACCTTCCAAATCCCATGAGCTGCAGCCCCTCCCTGCCTGCTCAGCCCTGACATGCTGCCTGCCTGCTCTCTGCCTGCTTTCTACTTAGTCCTGGGCTACAATACCAGCTCACAGAGGGCAGCTCAGGGACCTTCTGGAGTTCACTTTACCCTGCACACTCTTACAGACAGTTCCTTTTGAATTAATTATCACAGCCCGCCCAACCACCAACAGCCCTGAGCAGAGGAGGAGAGAGGCAGCAGCAGCATTCATCTGTTTGGGGGCTTTTTTCCCCCTGAAAATGAGTTCAAATGGTTAATCTTTGCCCTACATTTTTCTTCTAATCTGCTTGCATGTTGACTCTAATCCTCATCACTGCCATCCTCCTGAAACGGAACGCTTGGCTCAGGCTGCTCTGCCTGTCTGTTTTGGAAAACAAATCTGTAGTGAGAAGGCAGAAGTACCTGAGAACGTATTGCAGTTTCTGGAAAGCATTCAGTGTTCCCGACTGCCCCAGTGGGAATCAGTGGCCATTGTGCTATTTTTCTGAAGCTAAAATAATAGGTTTGGAATCTCAGATATATTCCACATGAAAACCAAAGCAGTTGCCTATTTCCAAAGACACTGCCCTGCTGAACAAGTGCAGGGATGACACACATACAGCCTGGGGTCTAAGCTTCTGTGCTGGAGCCATGGGGTCTGGTAGGGACCTGCCCCAGTACTGCCTCCATGATCCCCGAGGGGCAGATTAGAACCAGCTCTGTGGGAGGGAGAGCCCTTCCCACAGGGATGCCTCAAAGAGACCAAGGGAACAGTGAAAAAGTCAGAAACAACAGTGCCAGGGCAGCAGACACGGCTCCGCAGGGCCACAGTGAGGAGGAACTGACGGACTGTCCCCACTCTTCTGCAAACAAGCCCCCCAGATAATGGCATTCAAATGTCATCAAAATCACCTTAAAAATACCAGGTGTTGACCCCATCACTCTTGGCAGAACAGGCAGTGCAGAACCACACACCTCACCTGTAGGACAGGGCCTCTCCAGTCAGACAGGGCTGTCCATGGGTCACACTGGGAAGGGGAGATCACTGATAACCAACTGTGCAGCAGGCTCATTTCATCCCCTGGAGGCAGACCCCCCAGTCTGATTTAGGCAGGAGAACCCCACTGCCTTGCTTGTCTGGAGAGGCCATAGATGAAACCATTAAAACAATGAAACAGAACAGCAAAAGCTCAGAAAGGGTGGGGAAAATAGCCAATTTTATCAGTGCAGACATGTCTTTATTTCCCATGAATCCGTGAGGATGAGAGGCTGGAAGACAAGGCGTAATTAGCTACAGCTGAATTATTGATGAGAGCAGTGGCATAACTTGGAACGAGTTTCAGTGGTGGCAGGAGGCTGGGCAGCTGTCACTCCTGTGGGGATGGCTAGAGGGGACAGTGACACTGCTGCAGTGGGGCTGTGGGTGGGGGCCAGCAGCTGTGCAACCCACAGCCACAGCCAGGCAGAGCCCCAGCCCTGTGCTGCAGTTGGGGCTTGCCTTCCCTGCATCCTGCCGAGTGCCTGCGTGAGCACCCTGGGGTGCCAGCAGGAGCCTTCCTGCCCAAGGTGCTCTATGAGCAGGCAGCTCCCACACACTGTGGCCCTCCCAACGCTCACCTGAGCAGTGCTTCTGCAAGCGGAGGATCTCCAGGTGCAGGTCATGAAGCAGCTCCATCTGCTCCTTCTTCAGGAAAGCGATGTGCCGCTGCACGCTCTGGATCTGGTGCTCCAGGGACACCGTCTCCATCGTAACCAAATTCACGGTCCAGGCCTGTGGGGAGCGGAGACGGCTGGTGATCGAACGTGCAGCAGCACACAGGGCTTGTGAGCCCCAGAGCCCTTGTGAGGGCCAGAGCCTGTGGGTGCAGGGTGGTGCCTGCTCTCCTCTATCCTTTCCACAGGGATGTGGCTGTGGGTGAAGCAGCCCTGCTTAGCTGATCCCCAGGGAATGGCCCCAGACCTCTCATCACCCAGTGCCTGTGGGGCCAGGTCCCATCCTGCCTGCTCAGAGACTGCATGGGCAGAAAATGCTGCTGCATGGACCCTGACATCGCAGCAGCCATTTCTGTTCTGAATTTGGCCCCAGGAAATATTTCATCGCCGAGCAGGATGCATCTGGGACAGGATTGCTCCCCACCGTCCCCAGGTGGGAGTTGCACCAGAGACGATTTTGGCTCTCACTTGACAAGCCACACACTACGCAGCAGTAACTGCAGCAAGCGATCCAGCACATGAAAAATAAAATATGCTCCGTCTAACCTGATCAGCGCTGTGTGACGAGAAGAGTCATGTTGTCTTCCAGGAGAAGAAATGTCTCCCCTGGTAACCTGCCTGGCAGACAAGAGCTGCTGGCATCTGAGCTGGGCTGGGGGTCCAGCACCACGTGTCATCAATGGCTTCAGCAAAGCAGCTGCGTGAGCCACCCACCTGTGCTGCTGCACAGAGAGATAAAAATAACCCCTGAAAGAACCATTAATCCTGGGAAATAATATTTAGTGGTGTGTGGAATCTGTCCTTGCTCCCCACACCCAGCCCAGCAGGAGGGAAGCTGCAGCTTGGCAGGTATAGGAGTAAAAATGATCCAAATTGTGTTCTGCTCTGGTTGTCCCTACCAGAGGGGTCAGGCCCACCTGTGCCAGGGGCTGGGACTAGCCTGGCCCCTAGGAGGGCTCTACGTCCCTACGTCCTCATGCCAGTGCAACAATTATGGGAGTCAACTGGCATCTGCAAGAGACCAGGGATGCAAACCATACCATGGATACACCCTCCTGCCAGCCCTGGCTGCGATGGGCTGGGCTCCGGAGCAGCTTCTTGAAGGGAGTTGTGGTACTTCATCTTGAGAAACATCAGAAAGTAGGTTGGCCGAAGCCCAGGGGACACATAGCGCTATTTTCAAGCACTTTGTTCTGTTTAGTTGAAATGTCTTCAGTAGAAATGGCTGCAAATTTTCCATTGAACTTTCCCTTCTCCCTCTAAGTAGGAAATTACTCTTTTTTTTAACCAATGAAAATGTTTTCCTTTAAAAATAAATAGTTGATAAATACCAAGCTGTAAAGGAAGAAAAAATTTGTTTTCAAAGAAAACAAATTTGGAATTGAGATCTATTTATTGTCTCTGACTTGGAAGCTGAAGAGTCTTCATAATTTAACTGTGTATGTGATCAAAAGAAGTCTGTCTCCAAAATTGCTGTGGGAAATCTTTAGTGGTTTGAATCAGCTTTGCCTGTCCAACATGACTTTCGCTGTTTCTCTTGAGAAACAGCTCTCAGTTTGTGGCAGGAACATCTGGGAGTCCTATGTTGAGGAGAGAGCACCTTGTTTTGTCTAGCCATGAACCTCCCACCAGCACTAAGGGAGGCAAGGGCAGGACACAGGGGCAGGACACAGAGGCAGGCAGGGCAGGACACAGAGAAAGGCAGGGCAGGAGCTGCCTTCATTGGAAATGGGAACAGTGCTGCTGCCCAAAAGCAGAGATGGGAAGAGCTCTCGTGGGGCTCTGAGGACCTGAGGCTGCTGCTGTTCACCACTTGCAGCCCCACGGGTGACAGGAGGAGTGTGCTGTCCCCTCTGCAGGTCACACAGCTCTGCCTCACAGGTGTTGATGCAAGAGCCAGAGCTGATAATGAAGCTGCAATCTCGTCCTGAGGTTTCAGTAGTATCAGTGAGGCATTGGAGTGTCCCTAATGTTATGAGGGCAGTGGATAAGTGCTTACCTCACCAAGGCAGTGTTCACCTGTTACCCCAAAGGGTTTCAGAACCAACCTCTCAACAGTTGGTACCTTCCCTGAATTGCTTCTGAAGTCAAGTGGGCACTGCAGCAGCATCCTGAGCCTTTAGTCTGATGCATGCCTTCAGTCTTTTCACACAGCACGATCCTTGGGCAGTGCTGGGAGTTAATAAAGATTAGCTGCTCTTGGCTGATTGAGCACTTACAGGGCCAGTGCAGCTCCCATTTAGTAATGCCAAAACTCCCCATGGCGAGGGCTTCAGAGCACCCACAGTGGTGATGACCGTAAGTCTGTGCAGTGAACTAAGGCAGAAACCTTCACCCTGTGCCACAGACATGAGAATCGAAGCAGTGACTGGAGCTGCCCCTCCCATCAGCTCCCCCTGCCCCAACTGGACAAGTGCAGCTCCCAAAAGGATTCTTGTACTGCAGCGAGGAGGAATGAGGTTGGATGCCCCTGCTCCGATCCCTGCCTTGCTGCTTACTTCTCTTTTCCAGACTAGTTCTAACTTGCCAAGGCAACTGGTGGTGGAAGCTCTCAGAGTGACCATGTACTCAGCGGCTTTGAGGAGTTATATATTAGGTTACAACTCTAGAAAACAACGTCGTTCGTAACAAAAGCCAAGGGTAAGCGATAGTTCTCTTTAGCTTGAAGGATACTCTGTGCCCTTGTGCTTCTGAGAGTTGTACATGAACACACACAGAAGGAAAGGAGGCAGCAATCAGCTGAGTGGTGGGGTTTGCCCCTATTCAAAGTTGACACCTACAGCCTGAGCTGGCCCCTGCTCAGCTCGGGCTGAACAGCTCTCCCCAGTTTTGGAGACTAGACATCCAGGGAGCTTTCCAGAAACAGGGTTCCCCTGCTGATCATCCAAGACTTTGAGCATAGGACTGTTGAGCCAGTGCTGGGCTCAGCCCCCTGCAGTTCTCCACATGGGGTGACCATGGGCACAGTCTTGACTGCTGAGCCTTCCTGTGGGCCTGCCCCTGCCTCTAAACCACATTTTACCCCCCACTCCTTATCCTTTCACCATGCAACCACAAACTTTGGGACAAGCACATTGGGAGTCCTAATCTCAGCTGGTTGTTTCAAAGCACTGTTGGAAAACCCCAGTGAGATTTGCAATTTCACCCGTTTATCAAATTCTTATTTCACAAACCAAAATGACTGAAGCAGCCTCTTGGAGTAGTTACAATGACTGAATCAGTTGCAAGAGTTGATTTCCTTTGCCCAGGCTGATTTGCTTTGGTTGAGAATTTGCTTTCAGGGCAAAACTCTACTGAAGTCTGTTGATCAGTGCAAATCAGAATCCCAAAATTTTGATCCAAGGAAAACCCTCCATCTCAATGATGCATCCGAAAGGCAGATGCAGTGTTGCATGTCCAATGTACCCCTGCACACACACCACCACAGCAAGGTCCGGCCCTTATCCATGTGATCATTATTGCCCATAAATGGCGAAGTAGCTGGGAGTCAGAGGGCACAAATGAGGTTTGCAGGAATAGGTCGATAATTTATCCTGCTCTGCTTGCCAGCAACCCCCTCTCCATCACATTAAAATATATACAGGAATAAACACTGATACACACTAAAAATCCATAGTGCTTAGTATTTACAGCTCAAATAATACAAAGAAAAACTTAGCAGCAATGCCATGAAGCCAGTGTATCTTTAATGGAGGAAAATTAGACAGCAGGAATCTCAGAAACTTGCAGAAGGTCACAGAGGCAGTAGCAATGCCAGGAATAGAAACCAGAGGTGAAATCCCGGCCTTGGAAAAGTCAGTGGGAAGCCCTTCCCTGATCTCAGCAGAGGCAGAATTACACTCAGAGTGCTGTTTGCTATTCATTATCTGTCAGATCTATTTACAGATAAAATCAATACAGACGTTGATTATAAATTATTGTGTTTTCTCTCAATTCTCTGAGCACAACTGCCTGAAGAACAGCCCCAGCGAGGCTTGTCAGGGTGCTGCGGATTCTGAAGGCAAGGCCGTGCTTTCTCCTCCCGTCTCCGGGGGAATTCGCTACGGATCGAGCTCTGCGCCGGGAGCCGAACCGGGCCCGTCACCGCCGCTCCGGGCCAATCCTCCTTCCCGGGGGGTCCCGCGGTGCCGCCCGCCCGCCCGCCGCGGTTTGGCAGCGACGCTGCCCGGTGCCGGCGCTGAGCTCCGCAGCGGGCGGCAGAGCCCGGCAGGGGCGGGGGGACAGCGGGGACAGACCGGAGCGGGGCGGGCACCGGCGCTATCGCTGGGGTCACGTACCGGGAGAAGCAACTCCTAGAACCGGCACAGCGGGGCTGCGGGGAACTTCTGCGGGGCCGCCCCCGCAGCCTGGGGACCCCGCCCGCTCCGCAGCCCGGCCCCGCGCTCCCCGGCCCCGCGCCCCCCGGCCCCGCGCCCGGTCCTTACCTGGGGGGAGCGGTGGGGCCCCGCGGGGCGCCCGCTGGGCGTCATGGGGCGGCGGGGCCGGGGCCGGGGCCGCGCCGGCTCCCGCGCTGCCCGCGCTGCCTGCGGCGGCCCTGCCTCGCCCGGCCCGGCCCCGCCGCCCGTAAACAGGCGGCAACGTGACCGGAACTGGGGAGCTCCGCCGGGGCGGGCGGCCACGGGCACCGGGGAGAGACCCCCGCCCGGGAACACTGCCCGGACCCGGGCCGGGGGAACCGCCGAAGGGGGAGCCGCATCGGGGACGGGCCGCCGCTCCCCGGGACCCTCGGTGAGGTGGGGGCGCCAGTCCCCGGACCCCTCGGGCCCCTCTCCCGCTTCTCAGGACCTTCGGTAGGGCTGGGTCCCGCTCCCCTGGACTCTCGGGACCCTGGTCTCAGGGACCTCCAGTGAGGCGGGGCTGCTCTCCCGGGGGACCCTCGTGTCTCCTGTCCCGGTCCCCGGGGACTCTCGTGTCCCCGCTCCCCCAGACCCAGCGGTCGCCGCTGCCCCGGGGGCGCCGCCGCCGCTCCCGCCGCTGTCCGCGGTGCTGAAGCCTCGTCGGGCCCCGCGGCCGCCGCCCGCCCAGCCCCGGGTGCGGGGACCCCCCGAGCAGCCCCAGGCGGCCAGAGCGGGGGACTCGAGGTGTGCGGGAGAGGCAGCGGCGGTGTGTCCCTGTGGGGGCTGCAGTGTTACCGCCAGTCGGGGGGATGTGAGTCAAATGTGGGCCGCCTGCAGCCAGGAAACCAGTGGGTTGAACCAGCAAAGCTGCGGTCATAGAGATAGCACAAAAAGGTTGTTTACTCATGTGGTAACTGATTCTTCATGCCTTTTGTTTGCGGTGACCAGACCAGCTGGGGCTCCACATTCAAAGATGACTCAATCCTCTGTGCCTCTCTGGTGGGGAAGCTGGGATGCGGTGGCCTGTTCCATGCCGCACGGCAGTGACGGTGCAGAGAAATGGTAGCGTCCTCCCCATCAGCTGACAGTCTGCTGATTCCCGTTCCCTTAAACCCAAATCTGCCACAGAGAGTGCAGTGTTCCTGCTCTGATGCTCAGCTGAGTTGTGCTGCCATCCTCACATTAAAACTACTGCAATTCTGCTTATACCAGCGCACAACCAGCACACGGAGGAGTTGTAGGGCAGCCCATAGGGTATGGTCTGTGGTACGGTTCTACCATCCCACATCCTTTCCTTCCCTTGGGTGCTTCCAGGCACTGAGTGAGTGCTCTGCTCCACAGAGTGACCGAGGGTGTGCCATAGCCAACAGACTACTGTGCCTGCAGCGAAGCACATGCACCAGGTGTGATACAGAGCAGTGTGGTCCAGCCTGGCCTGCTGTGTCTGGTAGCAGAGGAAGGCTGGGTTTGGTGTTAGGGCTCATTGAGAGATTGAGTTTAGTTCACACGAAGAGAGAAATCATTAAATCAGGAGAAAAGATGAGCACTGGGGTCTGAGGGTCTACACATGCACACACAAGCTGCTTATTTGTAATGAGCTATTCCGATAGATCTACTTGCAGCTTCAGCCAGCACAGCCGACAGCTTCAGGGCTTCCCAGTGCTCACCCAGCTCCTGTGTGGGTCTTCTCTGAACTTATTTTCTCTGAAACATGAGTTCTTCTTGCAACAACAAGTTGTTAAGAGCCTGTGTGAAGGAGGAGAGTGCAGCCTTTCTTGTTCGGAGAAGTGCTGTCTCATTAGGAGCTCCTCTCACCCATTTGTGACCATCAGGTCAATGCTTGCCAAAGTGTCACTTGTCCCTCTCAGGGCAGTGTGCCAAGTTTAGGGTGTGGGGGTGTTTTTAATGTCGTGTTGTGTCTTCCCCTAACTTGGGTGATAACTTGAGTAGCGGTGAGCTACAGATGGGAGGAGGGGAGAGGGGTTGTCTGAGTGCATCATGTTTTATGAGGTTTGAACGATTTTCATTGATTTTCCACTGGATAAAACAGTCAAGGTCAGGTATTCAGGGACAGAGAGCTGCTCTGTAAATGAGGTCATCGCTCCAGGATGCAGCCTGCCACGCTGGATGGCAGCAGAGCACCACGCATCCTCTGCACCCAGCATGGCACAGGATAATGCCAGCTGCCTCCACAGCGACCACCTGGCAGATTGGGGTCAACCTGATGCACACACTCTGTTCATACTTCCCATCACCAGTTCCACAGTGAACTGATTTCACTGGCAGCTTTTTCGAGCAGGACCTGGCAGTCCTTTTGCTGATGCCTCCAGCCACTGTGATTTCCTGCACCGCAGTTATGCTGTGACCCTTCCTCACTCCTCCCTTGCTCCAAGAGACAGGAGCTGCTTCTTGAACAGATCTGAGGTTGTTTGTGATCAACATAATGAGGCAAAAATGGCAGGAATGCCATTTCAGGAGGAATTGTGGGGTCCCTGCTTCCAGCCCAGGTACATGACTGAGCTATGGAGGCTGTTGGACAGAGCCAGTCAGCTCCTTGCCCATTGTATACCAGCTGGGAGACATCTCACTGCCATGTGCCTCAATGAGGGCGCTGGCAGCCCCTGCTCACGGTGACCCCGGCGTTCAGCAGTGCAGCAATGGGGACAGCAGACACGGGGGAACCCACTGTGCACCTCGGCCCCGTGTTCTGCTGCAGCGACATGATTTGTCCCCTGGAGCGAGACTGATGGAGATTGAGGGGATGCAGAATGTGGGAATGCAGGATGTGGGATGCAGGGATGTGAAGATGCAGGGATGTAGACTGTGGGGATGTGGAATGTGGGGATCTGGGATGCGAGGACGTGAGGATGCGGGGATGTGTGGATGAGGGATGCGGGGATGTGAGCACTGTGGGTGGGGCTGTGGGCGGCAGCTCTGGGAGAGGGGCTGGGCTCGGCCGCTGCCGCTACCGTCGCTCCGTGCCGGCACTGACCTCTAGTGGTACCGGCACCGGCACCGGCGCAGACAGCGGTACCGACAGCGGGAAGGACAGCTGTACTGCCACCGGCACCAGCAGGGGTAGCGCCCGTGCAACCCTGGGTGGCGCTGGGGCACGGTCCCGTCGGTGCTGCCGGGGCTTCCTGCTGTGGCTGAGCTGAGCCCCCGCACCCGGTGCTGGGCAGTCGGGAGGGCTGGGGCGGGGGTCGCGACCGTGCTGCCCTGCGGGGATAAGGTGTGCTGTGCACCACGGCCGCGCTCTGCCTGGAGAGGCCTCTGAATCTCGCTCTGACGCTGAGGGCTGGTTGATGCCGTCTTAGCCAAGATACCTGTCCCGGGAGGATGGGTAAGGACGGCAGGGATCCTGCACGGCGCCGCAGTCAGTGGGCAGAGACAGCCCCGGGGAGCACCTGGGGCTGCTCCTGCCCACGCATCCCTCCTTCCTGGGCTGCTGGAGGAGCTGAGGGATGGAGCTTCTGACTGCGTGTCTGGATGTGGCCAAGGTCCTGCGCTGGGTGAGCACAGATCCCCTCGGCGGTGACCGGATTCCTGGACCAAACAGCTGATTCCCAACAGGAATCATCCTGTGTGCACTGGAGTTAAACCTGAATCCTGCACCCTTCCGGGCTGACTATGGGAGTGCTTTGAGATCAGAGCTTCACCCTCCCTATCCCCGAGTTAATTATTAGGGGGATTTTTGCATTTAATTTAAAAATGAGTTTAACTTCTCCTCAAATACTATTTTTCAGCCTAATTGAAACACAGTGTGTGTGTGTCTTTTAATTGCTTTGAAGAACCTAATAAGAGGCTCCTTTAAAGTCTAAAGGCTAAAAGCTGGAGGGTTTTAATAAATTTAACATTAGCTTAACGTTTCCACAGGGACTGTAAAATATCTACTCATAAGGATATTTGCTTGAGCTAAGCAATGCAATTTGTCCCTCCACGTTAGCATGTATGTGATATGTGAACACTCCAATTTTTTATTTTTTTCATTATTTCAGAACTTCTTTTTAATTTTCAAATGTTTTAAAATAAAAGTTGTTTTTACTTTTAAATCTCTGAAGTCTGCAAAGATCTTTGTGCTGAAGCAGGGGTGGGGCAGCTCCTGGGGTCCAGGGGCAGGAGGGGACTTTCAGCCTCCTCTCATTCCTCCCCCCATCCCATCACTGCTCCCCTGCCCATGACCTCCTGAAGTGTGGTACAGGGACTAGAGGGAGAAGCCAAGGCTGGGGTGAGGGTCAGTGAAGGGTCAGCCTTGGCTCTACCCTGCTGGGGGACAGCACAAGTGGTTGGAGCAGTGGGACCAGCTCAGTCGTTCCCCTGGGGCTCTCTCTGTGTGTACAAACGTGAGGCCCAGCACAGCTTTGGGGCTGTGCAGAGTGGGGCCTTGCCAAGCAGTGAGCCCTGTGCTGCCTGGTCACCAAATATGATAATACCAGTGATTTCTTGGCTACCCTTTCAGCTGACACATCCAGCTGACGGCCAAGGTGCTGGGCCCCTGTGGCAGAGCAGCTGCCCATCTGGTGCATGGACATGGTCTGTCTGGGCAGGCTGTTCCCTCCAGCCTTTAGCCCATAACTTACAGGAGGTGAGAGCCCCTCCAGAGGGCAGGTCACTGCCCAGATTCCGAAGACCCCCATCTGATTTCCTTTCTGTGGCCCAGGCAAGGCACAGCCTCTCCAGTTGACACAGCAAAGCACCCTCTGCTGCCCAGCTGCGAGAAGACACCAATGCTCTTCAGATGTGTTTGGACCCAAGGACTCCATAATTACCAGTAATAGGTATTTTCTTGAGTAATTAATGCCATTTAGTTTAAATGAAGTTGTTGGATTATGGATGCAGCACCTGGGTTTGCTGAGCTGTGAATTAAGTTCTCAAAGACCAGAAAAGTGAGGATTTAGTACCAGAACACCACTTTTGAGAAATAGCTTTCAGTGTTATTTGAAGCTCCTTGAAGGAACACTGGGGTCCTGATTTACTTCTTGAGCCCCTCACAGCACCCAGGGGCTCCTAGAGGGAACCTCTGGCCCTATGGGAGAATAGATCTGCCAAGTGAGTTGGGTGGGTACTCTCATGGTGAGCAAGGACCGTGACAGAATCAGGGGTGGGGTCCAGCCCCCAGATTGTGCAGGTGGGGCCCCCACTTACCCCTGCACACTGGTTGTGAGGGGTGGAGTGAGTGGGGGGCTTGGGGAGGG